GGGGGTTTTCGCTACTCGTTGAATTTCCATTTCCGTGGAAATCGCACACCACCAGTCCGTTCACCATTCGTTAACTTTCTGCCTAACTTTTCGCTTTTCGTCCCTCCTCTCTCTCTCTCTTTCTCTCTGTCTCTCGATGCCCCTCTGATTAAGAGGATTTTTCTTTGCCCTCGATTTTTGCAATTTTTTTTTAATTTTTATTTTATTTTATTTTCTCTCTCTCTCTCTCTCTTTCTTCTTTCGTATCGCGTTTTTAATTTACGGATAAATCATATTTTGTTATTATATTTAAAGTCTTCATCTATTTTTTTTTTTTTTCTTCTTCTTTTCTCTTCTCTCATTTGTCACGTAATATCGGTGTTCTCTATTTTAACTTTGGGATAAAAATCTATCGTTTAGAAGTGTTTTCGTCGTGTTTACGTTCGTTTAAAACGTTCGTTATTATATTCTTCCCTTTTTTTCTTTTTTAATACCATTTTTTTTTTTAAACGATCGTTTAGGGTTGCTTTAAAGTAACAACAAGGAACAAGAAAAAAAAGAAAAATATTTTAACATTTTAACGTTAATACGAACATTTGCACAACACGATGCTTTATATACGCGTGGTAATCGATTTTTTTGAATTCGTTGCTCGAAGCAAAAGAAAAAGAGAGAGGAAGAAAAGGATCGAAAGAAGCTACGTTTTCGAAAGTTTTGATCGATCAAAGCTTTTTCAACGGGAATAGGATAGCTTGTTTATTTTATTCCAAATGCCTCGTCGTTCGTCGAGATAAATAGAATTATTAATCCGCATCATCGCGCATCGTTCGTTCAACAATTAACGCGCGATACTCACGCCTTTTTGGTGCATCGGTTCGCGAGCCGCGAATCGACGAAAGTGCTACACCGCTCTCGGCGACGAGTTCCTTCGTTCCTAAATTGTGCTGACGCGACTGATTACGTCGATCCCCCGCAACGGGGCGGGAGGGGGCGGGACGGGGGGGATGATCTCTCGGTAGACCGATTACCGGGTCCAGGTTTTACGTGATCCTATGATTTCTCAGGGAGATCGGCATCCCGACGACTCTTTGGACACTCGGGAGCCTCGGATGACCTCGCGTCGAGGGATGAAACACGTTGGCTTTTCTCAACATTTATTCGAGGATGTCCCTCGGCGAAGACGAAATTCTCTCGGCGTCGATAAGGCCGATCGCTGCCGGCCTAGGCGGTCCTCTCTACACCACCTATACCACACGCTTATCGATTATCAGGACATCAGGAGCAAAAGGAAAATTCGGATCGGCGCTGTCGTTGCACCCGACAGTTAATCAACCACCGACACTCTCTCCACTTCTTGCTTGTTTATCAACAACTATTCCCACCCGCGACAATCTCGATCGCCGTCAACCTCCTCCTCCGCATATTCTTTCTCTCCTTCTTCACGATTTTCCGAATCCGCTTCCTCGTCGAATCGAAGGGGAGAAAAGGGGGAGAGAAAGAAAACTGTATAAACCGGGGAAGCACACTTTTGCTACTACTCTTCCCGTTTATCCTTGTTGGAAGGCACACGCGAACACCACTTCTTCCTTCAACGCACTTCACCTTCTTCCCGTCTCGCACCACCTCCCCCTCCACCAACCCCTTCTTGTTACTTTCCCAACGGCGAAGAAGAAGAAGAAGAAGAAGAAGAAGAAAAGGACGAAGATGGATCGAAAGGGTCGAAAAGTCGAAAACGAGCAACCACTTTCCACTTTATCGCGGTAGGGGGATGTAACGAATCACGCACCAAGGATGACCGGTGGATCTTTCCACCCTCGTTGTTGTCAGTGACAGCGGAATAATCTCGCGGTTGAGCGGTGAACGAGCGAGCACGCCGCGTCTACGATGCCCCGATCGTTTCGGGCCAAACAACAAACCACCGGTGTTGCAACGCGATCGATTCGTTTGGATTTTTATTTAAACAGAAAGAGAAAGAGAGAGTGAATGAGTGAGCGAGCGAGAGAGAGAGAGAGTGAGTGAGTGAGTGAGTGAGTGAGAGAGAGAGAGAGAGAAAGGGAGAGAGAAAAAAAAAGAGAGAACGAAGGAAAGATGGAAAATTCCCCGTAAGAATAATAAAACACACTGTTGTACCGCGATTACGAGAACGGTTCGCGTAATTTCGCGTTTCAACCCTTTTTCGAGGGTGGTCTCCGCCTTC